CTGCTGAAGCCCAAGGCTGTGGTTCCAGTTAAATAACAGGGCTATCAATGGCCCTTTGTAAGTTTGCTCTTTGGGCAGGTATCATGCTTTTGAGATCCCGATGATTCACCCTTCTTATGTAAGGGAGGTGTGGGAGGTGGGTAGAGGTAATCCTTTTTATTAGATGAATTAATAGAACTGGAAGATGGTGTTGAGGTTTTGGCCATGCGAACCCTTCCCCTTTGTGGCTGAAAGAGAAGCAGCAAACTTCAGAGCTGAGGAGCAACAGCTGGGAGGCTCATTGGGCACATATAGCCCATGCGAGAGCCAAGGGAGTGGGCACCGAGTGAAAGAGAGCAACAGGCAATTCATGGAAATGTTAAAGAGAAGGAGAAAGGCTACAATTATGGCAAACTCCCAGGTTTCAGCCATGACTTTTTAAGTCTGTGGAATTATGAATTTTAATTCTTATAGGAGTAATTTACTCCCTTGTCTTAAGCCAGGTCAGACAGACAGTAGCCCCTGTTAGCTGTAAGGAAGCTGGTTTGAGATGAAAAAAAGAGGGCAGAAGAATGTAGTCTTATGGAAACTGTCCCAGGGCTGCATGGAAGCAGTCAGAAAAGTTTACGTGGCTTTGGGAAACCCAGTAAGTAGGCTGCAATGCTGAATTTGGAAGGCTTTTAGTTAGAAAAACAGAGGCTGGAATAAGCCCACGAAAGGAAGCTGGATGCTCCTGGCAATGATGCAGGCCTGTGATTTTGTGCCCAGCTAGGCAAGGAAATGGGCAGCGAGATCAGAGGCTATTTTGATTTGGCTCCTAGGAAAGTAGCAGGCATCGCCAAGCCAAGAAATGAGGCAGCTTCCACACAATGGCTGGGAAGCGTAAGGGTGGACTAGATAACAGCATTCACACGGTTATTATCAAGATCAGCAATTACCAGACCTGGCTTTTTGAGGCAAAGTTATCAGTTCAAAGGCAGGCCACCACAATGCCAAAGGATGCTCGCTCCTTGCCTGCAGCCTTGATCCTCTGCGAAGGCGCTGACAGCAGGAGAGCAAAGGGGAGACCCAAAAGTGTCTTTATTCATGGGGCTGTGCAGCTTGGTGGTTTGACCCATGGCTGGGGCAGCACACTGGGTTTCAAACCTCTGCTGCCTTCACCAAATCCACTCTGCAGGGAGAGGATCCACATCTCAGCAGCACCACAGTAACCTTGAAGAGGAATAGGAGAGAAAGAATGGTGGACAGTAAAAAACACGCAGCGAGGAAGTGGAGCTAACAGAAGAAAATCTCTGATATTAATTAGCCGCTGCCCAAACTTGTACTGGCATCATTCCCGATTTCCAGCAGCATAAACAACATCAGACCAGGTTAAAATGGAAAGAGCCGAGTCTATGGATCATTGTTTTTGAGACCAGTTGAGAAGAAATGCGATAATAGTTCAGGAAAGGGTGGTTTTCATAAGGACAATGATGGGGAAAACCAAGGAGTCAGCACTTTGCCAAAACATTATCCCCAGCACCAACTTTAGGAAATTGGCTCTGAGCCTAAGGTGTGAGCCTTCCCTTCACATCTCTACCCCATGTTCACCAAGGGTCACAG